CTTTGCCGGTTATAGACGAGATCATTAGACAGATCAAATCGACAAGATATATGTCTACTTTGGACTTAACGTCTGGCTACTATCAAATGACCCGAAGATACTGTAAGATGAGACCCGAAGATATACACAAAACCGCGTTTATAACAAAATCGGGCATTTATGCATTTTTACGCATTCTCTTTGGGTTGTGTGGGGGAACATTCCAGAGAGCTATGGACATTGTTCTAAAGCCTGTCCTAGGAAAATAAACTTTAATTTATCTAGATGATATAATTATAACGAGTAGTACGTTGGAACAACACATTAATGACCTCGAACAAGTTTTTTAAATTATTAAAAGAGGCCGGTCTTACAATTAACGCCTCAAAAATGCAAGTTCGCAACTAAAGAACTTAAATATCTCGGTTATAAAATTTCGCAAAAGGGTATAGAAACGCAAGATTCAAAAATAAAAGCTATTAAGAATTTTCCCACCGCCCAACACCGCCAAGAAACTTTCGTCTTTCCTTGGATTATGTTCTTACTATCGATCTTTCATAAAAGATTTCGCTAATATTGTTGAACCACTCTTAGTAATCAAAAGAAAAAAGAGTAAATTTACGTGGACAGCGGAAGCTAACACAGCTTTTGAAAGATTAAAAAGAAGCGCTTATTAATGCCCCTGTTTTAAAATTCCCTGAGGGGGACGAAAACCTGGAAATTGCGGCAGATGCGTCAGACTATGCGGTGGGTGCGGTTCTTATGCAAAATAACCATCCGCTGGCATTTTTTAGTAAAACATTGAATCAGACACAAAGGAATTATACAGCTACAGAAAGAGAAACATTAGCCGTATTAATGGCTGTACACAAATTTCGAGTTTATTTCGGCAAATCGCCAGTAACAGTCTTTTCGGATCATGCGGCTGTTGGTAGACTTTACTCGGGAAAAAACCTAACGCCCAGGTTAATAAGATGGGCTTTAAAACTCCAAGAATATAATATCACAATAAAATATAAACCGGGTAAGGAAAACAATGTAGCTGACGCACTTTCTCGTATAAAACTGGACGACGAAGGAATGAACTTAAATGCGCTGTGTTGACTTCAAAAATTTTAGAGTTCTAGAGATACGGTTATTACTGAACTGAAAGCTGATCCTGAATTTGGAAATATCTATGCTTATTTGAAAGACCCCGAAAGCTTTGAGCATACAGATATCGATGCGATAAGAAATAGAGCAAAAAACTATGAAATAATAGATAATTTATTATTCTATACGAAAACAACAAACGAAAATCTTGAGTATAAGCCAGTCATCCCAGCCTCGCTTCGATTAAGCATTTTGAGGAGGGAGTTGCACGAAAAAAAAAAAAAAAACAGCGGGCCACCTCGGGGTTCAGAAAGACTATTAAAAAGGGTACGCGAGGCGGTATATTTCCCGCAATTATACAAAATAGTAACGGCGTATGTCAGGTCCTGCAATCAATGTCAGTTAATAAATGATATTAATTACAGCCCGGCCGGGTACTTAAATAGCATTCGCGCTACATTTCCGAATGAAATTTTAGGCATAGATCTCCTTGGTCCCTTCCCCCAGAGCGAGTTAAAAAAAAAAAATCGTTTTCTTTTAGTAATAGTAGATCATTTTTCAAAATGGATAGAAATTGTTCCTCTTAAACGCGCGTCAGCCAAAACAGTCGCAGATGCATTCTTACACAGATACATTTTAAAATACGGTGCACCGATAAAAGTCATTAGCGATAACGGAAAACAATTCATTAGTCAAGTATTTGAAAACATATGAAATGGACTTGGCATACGCCATATCATAATGGTTCCGTATAGACCACAGGCTAACATAGCAGAAAGAGTTAATAAAAACATGGTAAAAATAATTCGCAGTTACGTGAGCACACATCACAAGCGCTGGGATGGCTACATAAATGAATTAGCTTATGCTTTAAGAACGGCACATCATGATACTACGGGAAAAACTCCAGCAGAATTATTTTTAGGCAGAAAGTTAATTACGCCTTTAGATAAATTATTCTTTGTGCAACAAAGAGAGCAAGAATTTAAACAACAAGATGTGCAAAAGTTGATTGATCAGGCGCTTAAAACCTCGGATACGGCAAGAAATAGACAAAAGTTATATTATGATAGAAAACGCCGTGAAGCAGATTTTAAAGTTGGGGATAAAGTATTGAAGCGGAAATTTTCTTTATCAAGTGCCCCAGACAATTTTATGGCAAAGCTAGCTCCAAAGTTTGAAGGCCCTATGTAATTCAGGAAATCAAAGGGGTAGTATTATATCTTAAAAACGAGAGAGGGGAAATCTGTAAAGCAAGTCCCGACCAGGTGAAAAAATACTATAATCCAAATGATTTTGAAATCCTTAAAAGTTTCTTGCAGGACTCAAGTCTAAACGAAATAGAAGGGCCAGAGACTGCAACAACTATTCCACCACCCCAAGAAACGGAGAACTGAAGAGAGACCTAGCACTTCTACAACCCGGATGTCGGTATCAAAAAGAAAAAAAAATGATTTTCAAACTCCGGCGTTTAAGAAAAAACAAAAATACAGATGAACCGGGTAAAGAAACCGTGGTAAAGACGAAAAACACCACCTACAAAGGATGGCAGGAGAAATTACACATCAAGGAGAACGCGCACACGGCCACAGAGTCAGGTGCCAGCAAGGCCGCCGTTCCGGAAACTGAAACGCCAACAGGAGGCACAAAAATACGAGGAACAGAAGAAATTCAAGAAGGACTCCAGACCGGAGGACGTCAAGACCAGCCGTCCCAGGCAGAAACGCAAAGGCCAACAACCAGACGATTACTCCGTCAAGAGGCCAGCATGTAGAGGACGCAAAAGAAAAAGCAACGGGGACGACACTCGGAGATCAATAAGGAGAAGATTGACATCCATGAAAACCTCTAACTTGGGATCAATTTTGCCAAAAACGGATGACGGAGTTTCAAGCATCGAAAACTCAAAGATAAGTTAAAACCTTCTATAAATTTTTTTTCTGTTTTGTTCCGAAATGTTATGCATAAGTACGAAGTTCTATGTTTTGACGAAAGTCAATATGTCTCGGTTGAGACTTAGTTTTGTTTTACTTTATTTAGCTAAGGCAAAAGTATTATTTTCTTTAAGTGTAAAAGCTAAAAACAAGCATTTTCTGTTGGTCGAAAGACTAATTCTGTTATGTTAAAGCCAAAATTTGGCCGAAGATAAAAATAACTTCGTATTCTTGTATTAATAAGAATTTTAGTTTCAGTGCCGCCAGCTTGGCGAAGAATGAGTAAAGTAAAAAATTTATTTTTCTTATTCATTTTATGGTAAATTGTAAAAAGCATATGTATTAAAATTCTGTAAATGTACGTAAATCCTTGAAGGTTATGTAAAAGTAGAATTTAGTCTAGAAGCATAAAATTGTAGATGCTAAAAGTGAATGCTTAAAAGCAATGAAGTCAAAATTCAAGTATTAAACTGTAAAGTCATGCTTTAGAGCGAAAGCCTGCATGTTTAAAGATGAATGAGGGGGAAGTTAGAATGAATGTGTTTTGTAGGGTTCTCCACCTACATTTGAATTTTTAAGAATATTAAAGTAGCTCATTGAGTTGTAGAATGTCGAGTAAGGTGTGTGTCTATTTGGTCGTTGAATTCTAACAAATCATGGTGGTTAGGGGAAGTGTTGTAAGACTAAAACACGAATATTCCCGTTTGACACCACACACGGTGGAGAGCCAGGGTAAAGTTAAATTAATGCTTGAAAAATTGAATGAATGTGAAGTAAGCAATAACTAAGAAAAACGAATCGTTTAAAAACAAAAATTTATTGTGTCAAGAAAGTGTAAATTATAATGTATGTAGAAAGATACTGATACTTATTCCTTCCAGATGCTGGAAGGAAAGACCAAGATCGATTGATGAAGTCCAGGAAAAGTTGCTGTAAGAAGAAAGCTTTGTAACGAGCAACAGAATTTTAGTATAATTGTTACATAAGATTTTTTTTTTGTGTAAACGAGGTTCTCGCCAGTTAGTTCAGAATTAGATAAACTTACAACAGGTCGTTTGTAGGACCTGCTTCCATGTTTTTTCCAAATTCTGGCAGCGGCAAATGTAGGGTTTATTATTTATTTTAACTAACATTTATTTTAAGTTTAAACTATCTTTCCTGTCAAGCCTTACTTTCCCCTGGAACTGCCAATGCCAGAATATGTAAATTTGAGTAGAACGCGCAAGGATTCAAATTATCAGCGGAAGTATTCTGATTTAAATAGAAGGAAACAAGTTCGGTGAGTGATATTCTTACTTAGCGAGCGCGGAGGTAGTTAGCGAGAATTGAAGAACCCCGCGTTGCGGCCTATGTGCTTGGCGGGAAGTAGTGGAAATTGTTCCAGTGAGCTTCAAGTCTGCTGAATTAGCAGCGGTATTGTAAAACGCGGTGAGTTAGTTATTTTTTTAGAGAGCCTCGTAGTTAGAATCTTGTCTTTATTTTCTTTCAGGTTATTATTTTTATTTGACTGCCAAGTTGGCACCGTCTGTAAGCGTCAAGAGAACGCAATTGTAATTTATTACGTTGAATAAAAAGGGACTTAAACCCTTCACAAGCTTCTATCTTTTATACAAGTTTTCACAGTCACCTCTTGATTGCGTGCAAGTTGGAGGCGCGCAACGTTATAACCTGATGGTTAATGGCCTGGCATTTGTTTAATAATCATATTGCTTTTTGTGTCAGTGTACACATGCATTATTATTATTAAAAACTATGATCAAGAATAAAATAATGTTACTATGAACTATTATATCATTAATTCATGTCATGTATAATACATAACCTGCTGACTTTCCTCTTATAACGTGAAAAGGGTATAAATAATGCAGTTTTCTTCAATTGCTTAGAACAGTAATATTTATTATTCTGAGCAATTTTATCGTTAGAATTCAAATTTCGATTAACTGTTTTCGGTCTCCAGTGATATGCATGGAAATAACTGTCAGAACAAAGTAATTCATTCAAAAAGTAATTTATTCGTGCAATTTATTCATTTCACAAATCAGAAAATAGTAAATACACAAAAATGGCTTCTTGCTACTCAGTTTGTTTTTATTTTTACTTTACAAAAAAGTGTAATCCAACATCTATGTCGCATGTTCGAATTTCAAAAGATGCAGGGAGATTGTCAAACAAATGAGTTCTAAAAGTCTGAAAATAGATAATGCCAATTTCTGTAACTGCGCAAAAAGTGTTGCAACAGAAGAGTTGGGAATGAGAGTAAATTAAAAGAATTCTACAGAATTTCCTTCAGTTGTCTTCATCTCTCAAGCTGGCGTAATCGTGGAACTTTTCCAGAAGTTCTCGTAAAATTCGATTCTGAAAAACAAACAACTGATTACACATAAAATGAAATGGTGCTCATTAATGCTTGCAATTAAACCTTATAAAACGACAGCAAGAAGTGCACTGAGTGTAAACTAACAATAAACTGAATTATTAAATTAATAAATAACAAAAATGCTTTTGTATTACATGCAAATCTCTTTTCTTCCTGTCTACATAGATATTTGATATTTTTTTCCTTAAAATTGAGTAACAAATTGACGAGCGGATTTTACGCTATTCGTTTAAAATTTTTTCTGAAACCCTTTTGAAATGAATTTTTGTTTGTGTGAAAAAAAAAGATTAGAATTTCAGTTCAGTTCGTAAAGCTACTTAAAACTGCATAAGAAGCACATTAAAAGAGAGTTAGGTATATGCCATTTTGTAAATACGAAATCATCCCAGTAATTAAATCTTTATTTAATTAAAATCTTTTATTCGAGGGAGATAATTATGAGTTATTCTTTTGCATGCGTTATGTTAAAGTCATTTATATAAACATTTAACAATTTGAAGAAAACCCTCAGTATTCGAAGATTAGTAATTTTCAATAAGATTTATAAAAAATATGTATTTCTGAAATGAATATACGGTGAATTTCATAAACTTTTGGTTTAAAATTTCGTAGTAATTTTATAAAAAGCATAATTTGTATATGGACTGCGTATTTCATATTTAAATGCACAGTATTTTTCAAATGTAAAAATAAAATTATGAAAGAACTTTGAAACAGCTATGCCAATTCTATAAACTGATTATAGTAGAATAATCTGTTTAAAAGAACGCCAGTTTTAATGCAAACACTTCGAAAAAACAATATGAGAGAATATTCTTGATTCCTAAATGTAATGTAAACAACATTCTATTATAATATCATGTATAATATAAAAGCATTAACATGTTTAAATGATACAAACTTCAAAAAGATTAACCACTCACGCCAAAAAATTAAAGTTTTCCCTTGTTGCTCAAGGAAAAGAAGGAAATGAAATTTTACTTCCTATTATTAAAAGTAATATTTTTTCATAGACAAAGAATATCAAGAAAATATCATTCTTTTCACAGAATTCTCCTAAAAATATAAGCAGCTTATAATATTTTCAATAAAATATTTAAGTTGGTTTACCAACAATTGTATAAATTTAAGTAAGAATAATTTAATACTTGAGATTTAGTTCGGATTTTAAAAGGTCTCAGACGAATCGCAAGTAACGATAAAAGATTTTAAAATAACAATCTAGTTTTTTGTTCCTTCATTATGCTCAGAATACAAAAACGTATTATAATTATGTGCATTTTAAACTGTAAATTTTCAAAGACTACGTTTAGAGAGGACTGCAATAGTGTTGATAAGGGTGCGTGACACTTAACCGACAGCCACTTAGCCGACGAGACACTTAACCGACACCAGTTAGCCGACAGGACATTTAGCCGACACGGACTCTCAGCCGACGCGGATACTTAGCCGACAGGACATTTAGTCGACAGGACATTTAGCCGACACAGACACTTTGCCGACAGGACATTTAGCTGGCAGGGACAATTAGCCGACAGGACATTTAGCCGACACAGAGAGTTAGACGTCAGGACATTTAGATACGGGACATTTAACTGTCAAGACATTTAGTTCAACAGGACATTAAGCCGACAATGACGTTTCGCTGACACGTACGCAATAATTATTTAAACTGACTATCAATTACAATTTTTCTCGTCTTCTCCCTAAGTTCAAGTCATTTTCTCACCTATCAGTAAAATTCAATTTTCGATTCTTAAAGATTCTATATGTGCTTTTAATTCTTGTGTAGTTTAGCATAGTTTGATATATATCGTGCTGTTTGGTGTATATTGGCAAATTGAAAAAGCATTGAAATTTCTCTTCAGGGAATATAAATTAATTTTCGAAAGGAAAAAAGAATTTTTTTTAGCTCAGTACGACGGTCACTTAGTTACATTTTAATATGGTATCTGCAAAAATTGTCCGTAAAGCTTCTTCATTTAATCAACTAGGTTCCTTTGAACGCTTTCACATCATTAATAATTTTTCTTGCTTATTTAATGATATTAATCTTCCAGTCTCGCTCTTCCAATCTTACAATTTCAAATTTCCAATTCCAATCTTCCAATTAATTTTCCAATCTCGCTCTCTTCTTCTCATAAATTTATCAAATTTGACAAAAAATAGCTCAAAATCAAGCTTGTACTACCAATTTTAAACTTGCCAACTCAAATGCTCAACTTTGTTTATATTCAGAACATATTTTTTGCTGCTAAACTGCATGAATATTTATAAATTCTTAACACATATTGACAAAAGTTATTTTGCATGAAAAGATTTCATATAACTGAATTTATTGAAAATACTTATCACGATTTGCAAAACGTAAGACACAATATTACTTCAAACAATTATAGATATGTTTTTAGCACCAACGAATTTCGGTAAATAATAATTAAAATGCATGCGCACAACCCGACCCAAGTTGCTTAGCGGGTGGGTTTAAATTAAAAGAAATTCCGGCTGGAGAGTTGGACAGGGTAGTTGGATGTTAAACCCTTTTCCGAAATACGAAGAGGGAAAACAGTAAAAATTATTTACAGAACCGCGTATTTAATTCGAAGATTTTTAATCCCACAAACATGAGGTGAATTAGCTTAAAAATAGCGGAACGACGCGGCGTCTTGTTACAGAAGTTACGAATAGCAGAACAACATAGAACGAAGTGTGTTTAGTAAACGGAACTTAATACATAAACTCTAGTATACAATGTTTGAATGTTTTGAAATGTTTTGGTTTTAACATTTTAAAATTCATTGTTGCATTTATATGTTTATTTGAAATTTATTAATTATGAATATCAATTTCTGGTTTTTATAGACAATATCAATTTCTGGTTTTTATTTATTTATAAAAATAGCGGAACGACGCGGCGTCTTGTTACAGAAGTTACGAATAGCAGAACAACATAGAACGAAGTGTGTTTAGTAAACGGAATTTAATACATAAACAAACGGAATTTAATACATAAACTCTAGTATACAATGTTTGAATGTTTTGAATAGTTTTGGTTTTAAAATTCATTGTTGCATTTACATGTTTATTTGAAATTTATTAATTATGAATATCAATTTCTCGTTTTTGTGAAATGTTCTAAATTTCTTACATTGTCTTTTATAATAATATATATATATATATATATATATATATATATATATAGTATATACAATCATTTTTCTTTTCTAAATAGAAATTATGCACTAATTCAGCTCTCTCAGTATTAACTTTTGAAGTTGTATCATGATGGCCAGTTAGAAGGTAAAAATCAGTATGCCCGATTCCAACACTTTAATTGATTTGCTTAATCTTAAGAATGCTAAAATGAACTGCCTGTGACGATGAGGTGACAATGATTTTTAAGCATCTCTTGTCTCATAAATTAATTTTGTATATGAGATAAAATTATACCTGTAAATGCGAAAAAGTTTTAATCGAAAGATATTCTGATACTTACAGATCCTCTTCGATTACCAAGTGAAGAATCAGAGAATTCTTCTGGTGATGATTTTGGCCAGTCCCTCCATGCATCATCCAAATCACCTAAGTCCCTGGAGGGAAGAAGTTAGAAACATTTAAATGAATCAAGAGGAGTAAAACAATAGAAGAGAAAGAAGTGAAATAAATACACAATTTCGTCTTAAAAACACCCTTATAATCTAGCCCGCACATCAGTTACAATACATAAAGCATTATAGCATAACCTTTGCTGAACGCGGAATGCCGGAACGTGATTTTGCGAATACACAGTTTTTTTAATTCTCTCCTATTAATTTGTCCATCGCCAAAGTTTCAGTTGTACAGGTATGCCACAGAGCGTCAGCAGCGTTGCGACAATAATAAAACTTCAGGCGTACAGCAAGGTTTACTCTCCAGAAGAGAAATATTTCAGCATGTAACGCTCCTGACCCTTAAGTCTGCTCAAAAGAAGTTCTTCTTTATATGTCTTCGTTTCGCCTATTTCTGTTGGTGACGTTATATAATTCGATCGTTAAAAAGAGCGTAATTTCATTTGTCTAACGACCTTGCTCTTTACAAGGTAACACCCACGCGTGTATATGGCAAACCTGCTTAGCACTATTCTCTAGCGTATTGACCCGAGTGTTCCTATCATTTCACTCAGGCTATCAGAGCTGTAAACACTTATTTATTAGTGTTCTATCTTCTCCTTTTGCTATTGTATGTCTTTTACTTTAAAAGACCAATATGATAGTTAAAGTTTGGTTTGGTTTATTTAATTATGGCAAAGCACGCTAGGGCTATCTGACTAAGGGAAAGGATACTTTCGTGGAGGACTTTCTAAGGAAAACACGTTACACATGGTGAAAACGACGAAAACGCTCATGCAGCCAGCCCGTTCGCGGGATTCGAACCTCACACCGAATGATAGCTAAAAGAAAGAATGAAGTTAATGAAGCAGCAAAGGAAAAAAAAAGAAATGCAAGCTGTTGACATTATCTCATAAAACTGAAACTTTAGAGAAACTAAAAAACGCTACACGTATACCATTGCTTACAAAGGAGCTAGCTGTAAACGAGTCAAGCATAAGAAGAATATAGGAGAATGAAGAAAAGGTTCGGTTTGGTGTCAAAACTTCATGTGATATTTCGGCAAAGGTTGCTCAAATTTCAAGAATTCCTCAAATAAAAAAGATAGAAAAATGTTAATAGCTTGGACTTAAGAATCCACTAATAAAAAAAAGGTTCGGTTTGTGGATGGTGCTGCTATTCTAAACCAAACTTAAGGTTTGTGTTCTTTCGTTTTGAATAAAGATGGCCATCTACAGAGAAAACTGAATTTCAAGCAAGAAAAGGTTAAACGGCGTTTTAATTTGCATAACGTAAAGTTTTAGGCAGAAGTTGGCTCTGATTTAAGTTCCGCAACAAGTTTTCAATGTGCGTGAGACTATTTTATAAGCAAATGGTACGACGAATCTACATTAACATTGCCAAAGGTTTTAAAGCATTCAAGGATATGCTCACCTTGTTCTTTCTTTCTTTCTTTCTTTCTTTCTTTTTTTTTTTTTTTTTTTTGAAATGCATCAGGCGACTTCAAGTGCAAATTTCTATTCATTTATCTATCTAAAACACTCGTACACTGCAAGAAAAATTGAACAGTTTCCGGTTATGAGGAAGTAGAATAGAAAGATCCTCTTTAATGATTAGTTTGAAAGTTTATTCATTTAAGAAGTCAAACATTACTTAAAAAAAGCAAAATGTGAGCATTAAAGTTCTACTAGTTCTCAATAATGTTCCAGGACACAGTGTTGATGTGCTCACAACATTGTATCCAAAGCTAGAACTTTTATTCTTTCCGCGGAACACCACTTCAAAACCTATTATGCCAGGCATTTTTACATCTCTACAAATAAAGCACTAGACAAAGGAAAGCACGACACACTAATGGCATTTTGGAATTTGGAAGCTATTCAACGTCATAGAAATGATTAAACTCGCATGGAAACAAGTGAACTCTTCAATAAAGAATGCTTACTGGCATTCGTGCAAAAAAAGTTAAAGGAATTGTTAAAAAAGGCCCAAAAATTGTCTTATTTTGTAATGGAGATTGACCCAAATGAAAAAAGAAGACAGCACTTTACGAGAGGTATTAAAAAACTTTTCATCCCTTACCACGAAATGTTTAATGAGCTGCGTCAGGCATTGTCCCAAGCAAAAATCACTAACCATTTTTTAAAAAATAATTATATACCTAATTAAGCAGTAACAGAAATTCTTTTAATTAACATTTCTTTCATTTTTCGCTTTTAAATAAATAAAATCTAGGTCTGTATAAATTATACCTTCTTTCTAAATCTGAAATATATCCAATCCGGTTTTTTTTTCATAAAAAGTTAACTTTGTGAAACCCGATTTGGCCGTACGCGCAATGTGTTAATGACGTAATCTCGCGTTCGGCAAGGGTTTATTGTACAGGAAATACGTACGAGGTGACGTACATTTGCAGATGACAGCCATATTATTAAATTCAATAACGAAGAAGTTCCGCATCTAATTACGTTTGGAAAACTGTTACGGTTCGACTAGAATTACTTTTCTTAAAGCTGTAGAGTACTATTTCTAAGTTTTTATGCGCCTTAGCTGAATTTAAGTACTCTAAAAATAGACTGAAGGATGGAAAACATTGGATTTTGCGACATTAAATTTACGATGGATCATCTTGTAGGAAAAGAGAAATTCTTTTTTTGTTCTCAGTGTGGAGAGAACTGGATGTTAAACTGTCACTTTCAGCATGAATGGTTATTCACAACTCTAAATTTTGGTTAGGGAACTGCCCGAAGTCACCTATTGTTATTTGCAGTGTTAAAAGATGTTGTCAGAGAATCAACTAATGTGTAAATCATTCGAAAACAAAAGTTGTCCATATAAGATCTTGCCAAACCCAAGATCTTCGCGCCTTCATTTCCATCTGGCAAGCTCGCTGGGACAACTCAGAAAAACAACGGTCGACACACCTACTCCATCTTTCCCGTGGTTTCCACCAAAAGGCTCAAAACAGATTTCTATCTACAAGAAGCTTTCACAAATCACGGAAGATTTCCCGCGTACCTCAGCAGGTTCTGCCATCAAAACGTAAAATGCCAAGGTTCTTTAATATTAACCGCAACGGTGCTTCAGCTTCTTCAGCAGACGTTTCACATTACATCCACGACTGTCACTCACTTCTCCCATCAGAGCCTTTCTTCCTCAGCTCCAGGGATCACATAGCCTACAAGACCTTCTTCAGGATTACTACGGACAGTGGGGCGTCAGAACTATCATAGACTATGTCTATTCTAAGAGAAAAATAATCATAGCAGATAACCAGGTCTAAGTACCTGACGAAATGTAAAGGTAGAAAGCCTCTACTCATGTATATATGTAAATATCTCTAAGTCACTAACCCTTTTTGCTAATTTCAAATTGGAGCACCCAACAAAAGTAATAACTAACGTTAAATCTGTTTATCTATTATAAGGTTGAAAAGATAAACAACCAAAATAGGTTGCTGTAGCAACGATCAGAATAACATGACTGACCTGTAGTGCCCATTGAGAGGTGAAGTAGGAGAAATAATAAATAAATAAATAAATAAATGTCCGTAAAAGATCTTAGTTTCTCTTCAGAAGATAGTCAATAATGATGTATCCAAGTGTAGTTTTGACTAAAAATTCGTGTTTTGTTATATATAATTGCCATGCGGGAAAAATAAATGTAAGTGAAAAATTTAATTATTAACGTTTAAATGAAAGCTCATATATTTATGTACTTCTGCGTTGTTTTCATTACTATACATTGCAATTCAATCAAATATAATTTTGGTTTCCATTTTTATCGATGTGCCAAACTTTGCATTGTAATGAGCTTATTTTATGCTAACCAATTATTTTTAGTTTTAGAAATTTTCCTTTCCATTCTAATTTCAGTTTTCTGCGAGAATGTAAATTTTAATGACGTGTATGCAAATCTAAGTAAGTTCGGAATCAGTATGTAAGCAGCGGTTTTAAGAGTTCGTAGTAGGAGAGTTAGTTCAGAGTTTATGCCACGTGTTTGAAGTAGCTTTGTACGTGAATAGTTGCTGCTTAGCCACTTTCTTTAGATTATATTGATAATCTAGCTTCGGCTTTGCTATGTGCAGCCGATTTAGCACTTTAGATAAAGAAGGAGCCCAGTCGTGTAGCTAATCTTTACTTTTATTCTAATTGTCTATTTTATTTTCTGTTCAAGTTACTTAGCCACGAGTGGTGGTAGATTGAGAGCACCATGCGAGTGCGTTTCTGTTAAGGTTAGTTGAAAAAAAAAAGGTTAATTTAAACCTTCTTCTTCAGTCACCTGTTTTTCCAAGACCTAGCGGGAATTCGCTACTTAGTTTTTTCACTACGGTCTACAGTGTATGGTTCCAAAAACGTACTAGAAGACACAGCAATATATGCTGTAGAGACATTAGGTATTTTTTGAAAGCAGGCAAGATGAAAAACTAACAACGCGTTCGCCGGGAATCGAACCGCGGACCTCTGGAATACGCGCCCAGTTTGCTGACCATTACACTACGAAGGCATGCTAAGAAGTCGGGAGATATACTTTATAAGTTTAGTTTAAAAAACATTTGAATTGGTAAATAATTAAATAGACAGAATCATATGCATGCTTATGTATTATATGTTCTGTTTTCTATGAGCAATATCAATGTTTTACTGTTTCGGGTAGAAAAATAAAAGATTATCCGTTTAGTTTACTTCAAAACCGAAGACTTTCATCTCCATCAAAGAAATTACTAATTTATATTGCAGAAATGCGAATAAAGGGAATAAAATAAAAACTTAGCTTGAAATGCTAGAGCGCGTTTTGTTTCTTGATTAAGAATAAATCTTTATAAACATTTTTGAAGTACCTTTAAATTAAAATTTTTATTTAAGGTATTATGCTTTAACATCATATCTCAACTACAGATTTGAACAATCGTTATTTCGAGAAAAACGTGTTTAAAAATTTGACATTTGTATAATTTTGAAAGAAAAATGCTTATGACTTGTACTTAACAATTACGTTATATCATCATCCATTGCAGAAAATATGCGTTTTTCTTTACTAGCAGAGCGTAAAACATTGAAAAAGAAAGAACCTAGGAAATCCAAGTAGCTAAAAAGTACCTATGCATGGTTTTACCAGACAATTTAAGTCATTAAAAAGGATTGCTAGAAAACGAATATAACTCTTTTCGCATTAATATACATTTCCAAAAATAGATGGCGATAAAAATTTACCTCAACTCTTCATTATTCACATTTGAAGATCGTTTAGCACTGACACCTCTGCACATGGGGGCAAATACAAACCTCCTGTTTGAAAAGAAAAACAAATATACAATCTTATCAGATCTAGTTTGCTATTAGATAAAAATGAAAATTGCAACAAAGCATGAATGTATGCATCGTTAGTATAAGTGGCAACAGTCATATATTCAATAACATTTTAAGTACTTGAAAAATGCAGCATATATTAATTGCGTTTATTAGCAAAATATTTGGTCATATACTAATCGGTAATTTAAAAAGAAGAGAATTTGCAAAATAATGAAATGTAATTAAATACAACATTCATAACTAGTTAGACCTTCCAACAAAACTAAAACTTATATCATGACGAATATTAACTGTTCATGATTGGTTGAAAATTTTATCTAAAGAGACAATCTTCTGTATTTCTAATTAAATTAAAGTCTGCAATACGTCAAAAGTTGTTAGTTCTTATTTATTTCTAGAACAGTTCATCAGAATTCAAGCACGGTTTTAAATGGAACCTTAATAATTTAAAAAATACTGTTTTAAAACATCGCGGGTAAATTTGAAAATTTGACTTTATATTTCAAAAAGTAACAATTGCATTTAAATGAGAATTGGTTTAAAATATAAGAAATTACATAAAATATGCAAACTACTTCAAATTATGTAATCATTTATAAGTCTTGTGTCTGGTAAAAGCATAAAATAAAATTTACAATATCACATTTATTGATTTAATAACAATTGCCTTTTTATAACTTCACAATAAACTTAATTTCACAAATAACATGAATTTTGAGATTAACGAATACTTTACTGAAATTCCATAGAACCACCAAATATGTATCATTTTCCTGAAAGCTCATTCAATTTATATTCTGGATTTGGCTAAAACGAAAGTTCAAATCCCAGTTTAGAGTTATGTCACCATTGGCCGTTCATAATGCCGTCATAAATGTCTCTTAGCTATTAAATTGCTATGTTTTGTCCAACGACGCTTTCACCTTGCGTTGTTTGCTTCGAGATGTTTTCTTCCGCGATGTTTTTGCTGCAGTGTTTTCTCCTGTAACCCCTATGGTGTTTCTCTCGAGTTGTTGTGTCGCAAGCCTTACAATAGCAGAGGAAAGTTGACGATGTAGAGTATGGTGAGTTCAAATGATTATTCTGCGATAGTCCACTCCTTTTACTGCAGCATTGACTCAAGTGAGAAGAGATGAATCCACATTTTGCTCATAGTCAGAAACCGACGCAAAACGTTTTTCGAAATGCAGTTAAGCACGGCTAAATATACTGCGTTGAAATTCAACCATCGTGGCTCTCGTCTATGTCACAGAATTTCCGTTTGAATTATTTCTAGCAGATTACTCTAAATTGTTTCAGTACTGCATCTTAACAAGCTCGTGACTATTACTCGATGGTCTTCAATAGTTTTGTTCAATGATTATGAGCTATGGTGTCGTATTGTGTCATTCGATGAGGCTCCTTAACTCTGCTTCAACCTGAGCAGCCATATTATTTAAGTAAAATCAATGCTTGTTACTAAGTTTTCCCTCCCCAGTTTTATGACATGTAGTGAAAATATTATTAAGAGGAGCTATATGTAGTGAAAATATTTGTATGTAGTAAAAATACTTATATATTTTAATTTCTTATGTAATGAAAAATGTGTTAATTTCTGTAAGCTATGAGAAATATTTAATATAATTATTCAGGTGTATAAGTGATAACCAAAATTTTGAATATCAATTTTATCAGCGATGAAGTTATAACAATGATTAAGAGTACATCACGTTGTTTCCGCAATAACCCGAATGATAGGGATAAAAATGTATGACCTACAGAGGATAGCAAAATAAAGTACTTACCCCAGACTTCGTGATAGTTGAAGAAGAAAATACAAGTTATTCATCTACTATTTATCTTTCCTATCAAAAAATTTTATTGCTGAGCTCACACAAATAAACAAGAAATTAAATATCAGATCATAACTATAGTCCTACTATAAATACAGAGCGTCCATTCGTTTATCGATACACTTATCCATTTGCATCACTTTCAATAAATCACAAATTAAACGGGAATCGAAGATATATGTAGACCAGGAGTATACTCATCTTGAAATTTATTTTGATTTTGAAGCTTCTACCAGTGAATTAATTTGGAGCAGTCACCACGTGGCGATAAACAATGGATGAGTCTTAAATTGCACAATGAGATCGTTTACGATTCTCGTTTTAAAACATCATTCTACCCAGGTTGAATTTTCAGCAACTGCATATAGAATGAATATATTCAATAAAGAAACTACAGTTATCGGACTTTTCAGGAAAGTAAAACGTGCATCGTCACACGAGGTTGTAGGTGAAGAAACAGTCAGTGAAGAGACAGGCCGAAGCCCGTCCTTCACCCTTGAACTCCCAGTAGCGAAGAGAAAAAAACCGGTCCAACAACTGCCACCAAGGGCTTGGACGAAACGATGACGATTCTTGAAGCGATAGTCTGATGATAGATGCCGGCTTGCTAGCACATGACAATTCTTACAATGCTACCATAAAGCGCTTGAAGAATGCGAATAAGGCATCTCATTTTTGTTGTCAGCACTGCCAAGGCCTGAACTAGTTTAAAAAATGCAGTTATATCAGCAGCTTTAGCTTGTCAAATAAACTATGACGAAATGCCATAGAAATTTATCAACCAATGCAGATATTACATTCGTAAGGACTGCCTGTTATAATCCATCGTTCATCTGTGCACCGCAAAAACGTTAACTGACAAACATCTTAAAACCTTTCGCAAATGTTATCTCGCAGGAGCAATTATTTTGAGTTGGTTTTGAATTACCATTTCTACCATGGTCTCGAAAGCGAGGCTGAACATTTTCTGCTTTCTCACTAAAATATTTCTAAACCTTGATAGCCATTAAAAAGCATTCTTTACAAGAGTTATATTTCAATTTTTGGGAATTTAGGAAGCAGAAGAACTATCCAGATATACTTTAGGAAACTCCCATTTAATTCAGAATCTCTTTCCACTTTTAATTAACATATAATTGTTAATTCACATACAGTCTACTTGCTTGCATTCTACATGAACGTTTAAAGGTTATTATACAAAATGGCCTTAATATTAATGATATGAATCTGAAAATAAGTTTACGACAGTTTTTCTTCTCAAAAGTAGCATAAATTTTTCACCGAGTCGTGCGCTCAAACCGTCCATAGACTTTGGCCACTAATAAGGCCAGAAGTGGTGGTCACTTTATTATGGAGGTACATAATAGGTGGGCCACCTTTACCTCCTATGAGGGGACGCACAAATACACCCATGCCTTCTCTGGGATTCGAACTCGGGCTCTTTGGTATTGCAGTCGGATCCCCTAACCACTATACCTTCTCTTTATATATAAAATTTTTTCATAATACAATAAAATCCGTACTCATAACTATGCTTCTGTCAGGCAGACTATTTTGACTATGGCAAAGCACATAGAAGAATCTGAATTCAAGTCTTAGTAAGTGTTGCTACTAAAGTTGCGTTCTTACTAAGCTAAGTGTGTTACTACGTTGTGAACAAGTGTGCTACAATTGTTGACTATTTAACTATGATCTAGTTACTAAGTGTCGATTTAACTATAATTAACTACTGAGTGACGATTTAACTATGATCTAGCTACTAAGTGTGCTACAAGTATTACTACTAAGTTAATTTTTTAATTCCCAACTAACTGAAAAACAAAAATCTTTAATATTAATTCGAAGGTTTAATTTTCTCGAAGTTAAAGGTGCTAAATAAACATCACACAATAAAATAAAATTTTGTCCTTTTACATAAAATTTATAAGTTTATGTAATTTTTTTAAAATCTATTTTTGTTTATATATTTCGCATGCATACATACAAAAGGACTCGGTACCCAGTGAATTAAGAGAATGTTTTATTCTTTATTCTCTTCTGTGATTTTAATTTTCTTAATCTGTGCTGTTTTATTAAGCAGAAATTTTTAACTTTTCTTTCAGTTCCTCATTATGAAAATTCAGCATCTTAATTTTCTTCAAATGATGTCACAAATTTTCGGAAGGTAATTATTTATTTTCTGTCCGCTAATATCATTACTGCTGTGCATATTTTTTTGAACAAATTAGGTATTATTTCATATATCCAATTTGTAAGCTAAAATGAATTTCATATAAGACTTGTTTTGTATTTCTGTAACTTTAAGAACAGTTTACGGACATTTTACGTTACACCCTAGGTCATTTTCTCATCTATTTCTTTTCCTAGATCCAATTAACGTCCTCTATAATCGCATACGTTTAGCGTGACGGCGAAATTGTTGACAGCACTTCTGAATTATTTTCTTTGTCTTGGTTACATCATTCTCCCACGCACAAATTCGTTCCGGTATGACTTTGAATATTTAGGTGATTTATGTGTACCATACCGTACCATCTACCAATTAAGTAACAGTGTATATTTTATAACAAACTAACTTCTTCTAGCTTCGATTCAGCAAATAAAAAGCCCATGGTATAAAATCAATACTACTGAGTCAAAGATGGAAAACGTTATACAGTACTTTTCCTGAAGTTAATTACATAATCGCTCATATTTGAAGTGAATGCATGAACCTACGGAACAGCATTTGCCCGTCTAAATATTATGCTAGCCACATGCGGACAATCAAATGTCCTAACAAGCACATAAAATCAATAAAAATAGATGAAAAGTATCAATTGTATATTTTATGCTTTGCTGTTATTTGCAACCATAAGTACTGATATTACAACAAGAACCATAGTCAATATAAAAAAAATATTAAAAATTCAACATTAATTACAATTAATACAAAATATTTTATTTTAAGTTATCACAATATGCTTTCATTTAACAAAAACATCTTTTCTGCCATTTTTTTCCTCAATAATTCTTTCAGTTGTAGTGCTAAGGCCAAAATTACCAATTAAGTTTATTCCTGCTGCTAAGAGCATAATTAATTACGGCTTCTAAATTTTCAGTTGTAATACTGAAAATATCGATCGGCAATAAAGATTATATTCATAGGTAATGATAATATAAAACTGTAATGTGATCATATATAAAAATTGCTTATATATATTAGGGTCACCTGTAAGAGTGACTTTGAAGATAAAGTAGATGACTTTCAAAGTAAAATATGCCTAAATCAAAACGCTAATTACTGTAATTTCTTACAGAAGATAAATAGCAAGTTTTCAGTGAAAAGAGGGTTGATTAGGATTGCGTGTTTTAAGAGAAAATATTCGAGGTTTAACTTCATAAGCGCCTTTTCAGTTTTGATCACGCGCATCACAAAAGATGGAACCTCTCTCGAGGACTTCCAGATGTATAGATTTCAAGTATCATTATTTTGTTAAGATACTACACCCACAAACGACTATTTTTTTGGCAAGTTCTAACAGGGGTTTATTTGCACATGCAGTAACGTTCATCTAATCATTAGCTTATGGAACAGTACCAAGTAGCTGTAAATTTCAGTTGATCACGCTGTTTGCCCCAATTGCGCACACACTTTTCGTCCACTTATATACTCTTGCTGCTGCTTTTTTTTTTTTTTTTCACTTTCCTGCGCAAATTCTACGACCTTCAGTTTAAAAGCCGCTGTACAGCTTCTGTATTTTCCCATTGCAAGCACGCTACTTGCTGACTACCACTAATTCCGATGACTGAAAAGAGAAAGCTTGAAATATGCGAATGCTCCAAGGAGGAAGAAAAGGAAGTAATTTCATTACAAAACAGTATTTCCTGGAAGCCAGTTTAGTGAAAACCTGTTTGGACTGCTTTCATTTATTATCGCGTCTGCCGAGGGAATTGCTGGCTGCAGCTGCACCAGAATGCAAGGAATAAAAGCTGTACCAGAAGGCAAGGAAAGTCTCTGCGTTCCATCCTGGCACCATCCAAAGACGAAACAAATGCATATTCTTTCTTTAAAGAATTTGCGAAATTTTGTGGGAACCCATAAGCATCTCGCAAATCCGACGCACGCGGAAGTGAAACTATTTTCACCATTACTGAATTTTTTTTCACCATTACTGATGTAATATACTATTGCAGTTTTAGGTCATTAACTTTAATTTCTAATTTTAAGGTCTAGAACAATGTGAAAGTTTTACGAAATGACAGCACCACGTGCAAAGCAAGAAAATTTATATTATAAAAAGTTTATATTATAAAAAGAATGCGTCGAAACGTTCATTTTTTCTTTGTCTGTATTGTCTTATCTATATCTATTTTCAGATACATTGTGTACAAATATTTGGTAATTGTAAAATTATTATAATAAGTTGTAAGGATTTTTGTTAATTTTATCAATAGTTTAAGTTCCTTTCCTGTCAAATTCTTAGCTTCAACTTACTACTTCCGGCCAGATCGTAGTTTTAGAATTACTCTGAATACATAATTAGGAAGAGCGGTATTTAACCTCGAAGTTCTACTTGCTGAGTTAGAGAGAATCAAAATTCTGATTTGCGCGCGTCTCCTTTTTTTTTTTTTTTTTTTTTTTTTTTGGCTACTCTCTTGCAAAGCTGTTATTACGCTCGGCCGTACTCAGGCCCTTAATAGCTTCGTAGTCAAATAGAGTCAAATAGGGCCAACTCGGTTAGAATCTTAATAGCTTCGGCTATATCTCTTTAGTTAAAATAAATTTAATTTGAATCTTATTTGAATAAAATCTGTAAAATCTTATTTGAATAATAAAGGGTTAGTTACCCTTCCATCTTGTTGTTTCTTGTCACACGAACTTAAGCAATTATTCGCTTAGCGGTTCTTAAGATTCTTCACTTTCTACAGTAACTGAGAAATATACACAAGTGAGAATCCCACAAAGTTAAAGAAACATCAAAATTGCTAAAAGTTTTGCAATTTTGATCTGCTGCAGATCCCGCGACCCCCATGGGAGTCGCGACCTACAATTTAAGAAACTCTGATCTAAATGCAGAAAGAACAAAGATCTTTTGAAAGAAAACAAAAGGATCTTTTGATAAGAAAGTGTTTCAAAGGATAAGATAAAGGTTCCTTTTCATAAGGATTCAAGAAATGTTTAGTAAAAAAATATAAGTGAATTGTGGGTTTCTTCTATAATTTGTCATGCACTAAGAAACGGAGCCAAAAAAAGATAAAAATTCGTTAAAATCGACGTTTTTGTTATCAAATAATCAGTCAGCGCAAAATTTCTTGATAAAAAAGGGTACTAAATTTATAGACTTTGTTTATATGCCTTCAAAGTTTTTTTATTTTTCTAGAGAATTATTGTGTCTTCGATATAATGAAGAGAAGGCTGCCAGTGTAGATCAAAAACAATGGATGAGGGAGAAGAAAAATTGCTCGAAACTTCACGAAATATCCTAATTCATATGTAGGAATTCAACATATAGATTAATACTACAGGAAAAAAAACTATTAATATTATATAGGAAAACATTTAAATACAATATTTAAGAAGCAAATATTTTTATTGAAAATATTAACTAAGTGGTAACTTCTTAAAAATTGATAAAAAAACTTCGTGCTATCTGTGACTGGTATCTATAATAATATATATATAATAATAAAAGCAAGTGTAATGTGTCTGTCTGTCTGTCTGACCGAGCTCTCCAGCCAAATCTATCGCACGCAGGGACCTGGAATTTTTTATACGGAAGCACAAAGGGGCTGGCCACCAGACCTCGAAGCCCGATTTTCGATTTTTGAATTAGAAAAATTTAAAAAAAAATTATTTATAATTAATTAATCACGGTTTTTTTGACTCACTGATATTATTATTTGTTTTCAAATAACGTTCGATTGTAACAATTGATTTCTTTATTCTAGCGTTAGTTTGCTGTTTTGACGATACATTAAATCGATTAATTACAATTCATTTCTTTTTTGTAGCTTATTATTTATAATTAATTAATCACGGTTTTATTGACTCACTGATATTATTATTTGTTTTCAAATAACGTTCGATTGTAACAATTGATTTCTTTATTCTAGCGTTAGTTTGCTGTTTTGACGATACATTAAATCGATTAATTACAATTCATTTCTTTTGTGTAGCTTATTATTTATAATTAATTTAATCACGGTTTTTTTGACTCACTGATATTATTATTTGTTTTCAAATAACGTTCGATTGTAACAATTGATTTCTTTATTCTAGCGTTAGTTTGCTGTTTTGACGATACATTAAATCGATTAATTACAATTCATTTCTTTTTTGTAGCTTGTGGGGGGGGAAGAGAGAGAGACAGTCTACATGTCCTACACTACTATTCCTGCGCTATTCACTTATCTGCATTTTCTAAATGCACGGGCAACGCCGGGTACACCTAGTTAATTAATATTTAAAACAATACCTCCTTAAAGACATTATCAATTGTCTGAAAGATTCAGCATATTCAGTTACAAGAACAAAAAAGAGGTATATTTTGTTAGGATATAGATAACGTATTTATCGTAGAAGTCACCAGCAAGAAACTGCAGTAAGCAAGCCTCAGGGTAGAAAGTCACTAATCTCATTGACTACACTAATAAAATACAAATATCAATAAAAGGAAAAACAAGTAATGCTGATATGTTCATTTATCGATGGTAAATGTTTCACCTGCGAACATGACTCGTGGTTTCGTTATTATTACTGTTACCATTAACGAGACCAGTTATGCGAAAAAAAATACACTGTTAGTAAAATTTAATTGGTTGGTTACAAATTGGTTCCAAAACATTTATTGGTTGACTGCAAATTTTCGCGTCTCATTTGAAAATAAAATACAAGTAGCCATATCTTAAAGGAAATACTGGGTCTGATCACAGGTTGGATGAACGGGCCTTTTCGTGGTTCTATAAAAAATACGAGCCACTTCCCCTTAGAAATTCCTTCACGAAGGCATCCTCCTTTTAATCAGGTAGTTCTCCAGTGCTTTGCCATAATCAAACAAACCAAACCAAAATTAAAGAAAATAAGTTTTTTTATTTTATTACATTTCTTATTCTTCTGTTTCCTATTGTTTATTATTACACTGTTTCTTATTCTTAAGAAATTTGCTAGACAGTTTTTAACAATTTCCGCAGAATCATGTTTCTTGTCTTTCAAACTATTTTCAACGAACTAAATCAGATAGAAGTTCAAAGCACAAAGATCTGGAGATTATGGTGTTTGCTGGAAGATCCTTCCATTTAATCCTAATTGCAGTTCACTTTCAACAGCGTCAAGTGTCAACAACGACAACAGCAACATCAGTCATCTCATATTTTATTATTTATCGTTATGTAAACGGACATGAATTAAGTCCAAATTTGCATTCGCATAAATTTAGATTAAAATTATAAATTACGTTAGTATTGCGATTATAGATTATATGCTTCAGGGAGTAAATTTCATCTTAATCGAACTTCGTCGTTTAGTCGTGTAAACAATTTACTATGAGCAATAATTTACCGTAAATTTGCAGGTTAAGTGAGACTAGAAGGTACATAGATTTATAACAAACCTGAAACGTTTTATCTCCTTATCGCTCGCTATAATTGCTCTGATTTTATTTTAGCGTATGTCATTTTGCTTCTTTTAGCAATATATTCTTATCTCTATGTGACCTGATTAAGAAAGAATTTCATCATAATCTTTTTCAGTTTTTTTGACTGTACATGTTTGTCATCTAATTTAATGTGCACTTTCATATTTTATAAAACCTTGTAAGGTATTTCACCCGCCTTCTTAGCATGTCTTCGTAGTGTAGTGGTCAGCACGCTCGGTGCGTATTCGAGAGGCCCGTGGTTCGAGTCTCGGGGGGGCATTGCTCATTTTTCATGTCTCCTGCTTCGCAATAACCTTATATATTATCTTTATATTATATATCGTCTTTACAACCTTATATATTATCCTATATGTCACATGCATACGTCTAAAGTATAACCATGTGGTTATTACATGATAGGGAGCATGAAATGTATCTCTATTGCATGTTACCCATGTGCTTATTATTTCATGTTTATGGTTTTATGAATTTTTGATCTGTCTTAAAAGGATGCTTTTCTCATCAATATTACATTTCATTTGGAATTAGAATTTTAGCTCATAACTTTACAAATAATTGCAGTTTGCGTTTCCTTGTATAAAATGAATCGATGTTTAGGTATCGATTCGTACCAGGAAAGTAGGTAAGCGCAGGAAAGTAGTTGAGATAAATCACTGTTTGTGTCCATTTTGTGGATGTTTAGATAATATATTTTAAACCTTGTGTTTGGTCAAGTTTACCATAGAAGTTTTGAATCAGAATCTAAACCAACCAAGCAACCAAAAGTCTATAGTGGGCAAACTGTACAAAATACTTCCTACTATCGCTTTTACAAATAATTTCTCATAAATAATAGAAAACAAACTAAGAAAATTATTCGAAGTACGATTTTCAAAGTTTCCGTTTCAACTCCATGGAAATTTAAATTTCTTGCAGACATAAGTCTTGGCTTCAGTTCTGAGAGTAAGTATAATCCAAAAAGTGAAAACCATACATAATAAAAAATCATTTAAATCACGTTTTAAAACGTAACAGCATATAAATCAAAGAAAAATAGTTTTCGAAAACGATCAGCATGAGATTTCGAAAAATTACATTTCTACCTGACAGAAAACAAATTTAAAAACTAATTACATTTATCTTAAAGCATTCATTGCCTTTGCTACCAAGTCCCAAATTATTTCTGTAGCTATTAATTCATGCGTCATTAACAGCATCCCATTCAGCTGTTACGCTAGTTAAAGTTGATTAAGTTCACACCACTTGTGAGCAAAATCTTCTTTTCCTACTGCAGGAAAGTAGTTGAGATAAATTTTCTCAGTGGGCTACAAAATTCATGTCACTAAGAGGAAGTGCTATTACTTGAGATAGTTAAAGACAGATTTTGTTTCTTTGTTTCACTAAAATTGGATTACAATTAACAACGGAACTAATTACTTCCTTAATTGATGTGTCTAATTTGCTAAAGAAGCTGGGCAAAATGGACATTGTACAGATAATATATGCTATCAATACTAAAATCATAATGGTCTTTTGAAGTTTTTACGTACCACTAAAATTTGCGAATTGAATTTAGGAAATCTGTTCTGCGCTATTTGAAATCTTTTCCTCTGACTTGGAGTTATTGTGCCAAAATTGAGATACGAAAAGTATAAATAAAGAGACTGTAGCCGTAGGTTTCATCTTGACAACATTGTAGAGTTCCCGTTTAGAAAGAAGAGTGAGGAATTATTTGATGCACAGGTAGTACGAGTTTGAATTGCGTTGAGTTACGTAGTCGTCTGGGAGGGGAGTAAGGGATTTTTCTTAAACTATATTTTTGCGTGCATTCTGAAAATGCGTGACATCAATTTCGAACAGCGTCATGCTGTCAGATATTGCTTTAGACTTGAACGCAGTGCGACAGAAACTTTTGCAAAGGTCTGAGAACTACGAAGGCAATGTTTTGTGGAAGGCCCACACTTTTAGGTGGTTTAAGGTATTTTCAGAAGGAAGGGAATCGACTGAGTCGATCCCTACAGGATGAAACCTGAAACTATGGCGAAAATATTATCAAAATCCAGAATTTTGTGCTTTCTGATTGTAGCTTGACAGTCAAAATGATCGGAGAAAAGTTGAATTTGAATAACACCACCATACATCAGATTTTGAGAAATCAATTGGGTGTGTGTGTGTGTGTATTTAATTATGGCAAAGCACACTAGGGCTATCTGCCTAAGAGGAGGGATGGCTTCCGTGGAGGACTTTCTAAGGGAAACTGGCTCGTATACACGTTACACATGGGGAAAACCACGAAAACACCCATGCAGCCAGCCCGTTCGCGGGATTCGAACCTCGGACCGAACTACCAGTGTTCAGGGACTTTACCGCTCGGCCGCTGGTGGGCCAGAAATCAATTGGGAATGAGGAAAATTGGGGGGAGGGTCTTGACTTTTTGATCGGATTGAAAATCATCTTTTATTTATGAAACGTGTCATTACTAGTGAGTAGTCTTGGGTGTTCCAGTACTACCCAGAAACGAAGCGCCAGAGCCAGGAATGGTACACTTCAAATTCACCAAAACCAAAATAAGCAAGAGGAGCAAGTCGAAGATTAAAGCACCATGATTTGTTTCTTCGATGGGCTGGTTATCGTCTCCAAAGAGTTTGTGTCTTTAGGGGAAACAGTTAACCAATACTTTTACCAATAATTTCTTCAAAGACTCGAAAAAGTGTCATGAGTATTGCGACCGAGAATCAAGACCAAAGGATTCTTGGTCTTATTCAAGACCAACTGAGTGCTACATCACGACAATGCGAATTGTCACACTAAATTTTCAGTTAGTTTTTGGCAAATAAATACAACTCTGTGGCTTCTCAGCCCCCTTAGTAGCGGGCACAGCCCGACCCGCCTAACCAAACAAGTTGGTCTTATGGTCATGACAGGCTATGCCCATTTCAACAAAAGAAAAAAATGAAACATAAAATATCTAAATAACAATAATGTGTAAATAATAATTATAAGCATAAAAGTGGAAAAAAAAGGAACAAATACAAACATTTAGACAAGAGCAGACACTAAAGACAAAAACAAAA